GTTGAGGAAGGGTGCAGAGCGAAGATGTAAACGGAACAGACGCTCCGATGCCGAGTACTCTCACGGCAGCCTGTCCATGACCGTCTCAAGGTCGCCCTTGCTCATATCAAACCTCGCCGGGCCATCCGGGTTGAACGGCTCGTACTCGGCTTCGAGTTGGGTGTGCACCTGCGCCCTCGAGACGCCGAAACGTACTGCGTTGGTCGCGATCGTGTCCAACATCCGACACAGCGCCCCATGCCTCTGCCTGCGGTCGCGGCTGCGGTCGCCGGCGACGAGCTTGGCAGTCCTGAAGGCGATTCCCATAAACGCGTTCTCAAATGACAGGCCCAGATCTTGGCGCGCGTCGGCCGTAATTATGTAGTCGAAGCCCGTTTTTCCTCGCAGCGTCGCTCCTGCGAAACGCGCAAGTTGGAGCTGTCCAGCCGCATGCTCGCCATCTCGCCCTGCAGCGCAGCCTGGAGCTCTGCGCGGCTGGAATCTCCGGCCGCTTTGGCGCACACCTTCTTGTGTGCCTTCCAGTGCGCCTTCTGGCAAACGGGACCGCAATACGAGACCAGCTTGCAGCGTCCACATTTCTGTACGCCGGCGTTCGTGCACTCCGGCCCGGCGCAGACCTCCTCGTGCGGCTGCACAGAGCGAGCCGTGACGTTGGCACCGACTCCCGGCGCCAGGAGGATGTCTCTCCTCTCCTGCGCGGCACAGCGGCGGTCGAGGTGACTCAGCATGTCGTCCGCGAGCTCACCCATGTCCGGCCGGCACCGCGCGAGAGCCGACCGCCATTCGCGGCTCGAAGCGCGATTGGCAAAGAGGCGCAGAAAGGCCCGCTCAGGCTCTGTGCTGTCCACGACGAGCTTCACTCCCCTCATGACGAGCGAATGGCAGTGCACCACGGCGGCCGCAGCCAGAGTAGGCTTTTTCAAGACCTTGGCAAGGTGCTCGAAGAGGGAGATCAGCGCTGCCTCCTCGGCGCCGGCCTCCGGATCCTGCAGGACGAAGGCGCAAAAACGCCGCCCTGTCCCTCCCTTTCGCAAATTGCTGCTGCTGCTCG